GTTTTTTTTTCGGGGGGGGGGATGTTTGTTTGTACAGATCTCGCTCATTATAATATGTTCTTTCAACTGCAGTTGTAATGATAATAATATGCTACTTAAAAACTCATGTGTTAGCCACACCCTTTTTCATTTGGCCTATATAGTCCCAATAGCTCAATCAGATGATTTTGAATAAAAGCAACACTTTCCTATTTATATATTTCATAAACATACAGCCTTTTGCAAAAATTATGAGAATTGTTGAAATATCTAAATATCATAATATCGAGTGCATGATGGGTAATCCCGCGCGATTCCCTTAGTCCCTTGTCTTTGTAGTTTAGTTTTTTTTTGGCGATAGACTTATCCGTAGTTCTGAACATTTTCTCGATGTCAACAATGAATTATTCTAGCAAACGCGCGTGTTCCGGACAATATATGGATATGGATATTATGATATTTAGATATTTAGACAATTCTCATAATTTTTGCAAAAGGCTGTATGTAAGCAAATTATGTCGTAAAATATATTTTTATAGAGAAACCTCGAATGTTTTATTTTCACTAGTGAAAATGACAACTTTTCCAAAGAGAGAAATAATTGTAGGTATCTTAGATAATTTTACGATAAAGTCACTTTAACTTTGAACTTCTTTTTTCCTAGTCTTATGGAGTTACAAAAGTTGCTCACATTAAGAAAATCCTCCAAAGCATAAAACAACTTTGTGGTGGAATGTCTACGCGAACTGCTGCACGAATAGAAAGGACAGCGAAAGGCGAAGAGAAATCCACAAAGTCACCGTACTTTGACAAAGAATACAGTCATTGAGAGTTGATGTATTTATGACTACAAACCATTCTACTTGTGGAACCATGGTTAATATCGATGAATTGACTCGTCTGCAGTATTATTTGGACAACACATCAGATATTTAAGGTTGCTTTAAGCCATTTGTTAACAATGGTAGCTACACACTTCAAGTTGCCAGCCGTTCTTAATTTGTTCAAGATAACAAGACCACGAATATTAACTCAACGTTGCTTGGGCGTAGACGGTGACCCTGATTTCTTGGGAACACGAATCACCGTTTTGTAAATAAATGGTTCTTAACATTCGAGAAGGCACTCAAATAAGYATGGAAAGACATTTTTAGACGTGGATTAATCACACTTTGAGAGTTTTCCGGAGCAAAWAGGCTGGACCTGTTTGCACAAGACAATTTTGATACAACAATCATGAACACTCTTAAGGACTTTTTCTAGCAATATACAGAACTTGAGAATAATTCCCTTAAAGATTATGATCAAAACTAGAGAAAATATTATATRATATGGTGCTCTTGTACATACCGTAGGCACTATTTAACTTGGGGTTCGTTTTACGTGATCCGTTTGCGATTTCTTCTCGTGATTGTTCGTGGTCTGTTCGTGATGTATTCGTGATATGTTCGTCCGTYCGTTCGTTCGTATATTACATGATATTGGTACCGGTATTTAAAACTTCTTTATTTGAAAAAAGAAACCATTTCAAAATGTGAAAATAAGGAAAAGACATCTTGCATTCTCTTGTTGAATGATTTAGGTTTATGTTTCAATATATAYAACCAGATAAATAGTGATTATTATTTGAATAACCGAGTTACATGAAGTATCGCACATTATGTTAACATCTCGGTACTCACCTTAGATTATTACATATATTAATGTGCTGTTATTGGGTGGCTGAGCTCTTTCTGACTAACCATCACCAGTTGCTTTGCCTTCTTGTACATATCAATGAGAATCGGTCTCGTTTTTTATTTAAGTCTTAAAGGTCACAGTGCTGGTACTGYCCATGTGCGATGCTAATTATTGTAACTGTCAATATACTGTTTATAAATTCCAGAGAAAAAACATAATTAAATCATGATATGCAATTTGAACTCTCAAGTGAATCGAGAGAATATAATGATTAATAAAAATGATTTAAAAAACAAATAAATTTATATCTGGACAATTACAAGATTGTGATTTACTTATTATTTTTTTATCAGAGTGCAAACATGAAAAGTGTGTATTATTTTGTACTATTTACTGCTAAATAATACTAATTGAGCAATTGGATCAGGATGATTTAGCAGTATTCAGTGGTGATTATGATGTTCGACCTCTACTATAGACCTTAGTGCTTAAATCCCCCCTCTCCCTCCTCCAATAGGGCCAGACTATAATGAGATTATACATAAAGGCATTTTTGAAAGATTGTGTGGGTTTCCTGTGTATAGTTCAAAATTCCGCTGACACTATAGAACGGAGATTCAAGCATGGTGGAGGAAATGGAAAATAGAAGTGCCTGAAGATTTTATTCATTGCTTTTAGTTATGACGCAAAAAGAGGTTAGTAAATTACATAAAAACTATTTATCTCTGAATAGCCGTTATATTTGAGCTTTGTTTTGGGTTTTACGACGATTTTTTTGGTGGTTTGTATTTTTGCGCAAAGGATATTTGTCTATCTTCCCGGTTGAKTCTATATTGGATATTTTTCAGTGTAAAAAAGAAATTAAAGCTTTAGATGAAAGATTTAGAAGAGTTTTTAACCCATTAACAAACCGGAAAGAAGAAATTCCTGAGCTGGTAAGTCGAAAGTTATTATAATTTTATGTTCTTGCAATATTAGAAAGTGATGGTGCAATAATTCCTTTAAAGTTAATCAAAGTGGTGTGGGTAAATTGCGATAAAAAATTAATAAAAAATGTCAAAATCCAATACTYATTAGTCAATTCACATCGGACTTAAGTTGCTTGATATTTATCATAATAATTATTTATTTTTTATCTTTTGTGTATATTTTATTATTATCTCATTTATTAGGATCCACAATGGAAAGAAAACATCAATTTTCTTAGTTATTTATCAATTCCAATCATCATTGATCCTGAAACTTGGCAWCCATTGGTTAAAAACCAAGCATGCCTTGAAGAATGGAAAGAAAGAGCAACATTCATTGACCAGGATATAAGTTATCTTCTTTGTYTTCCACACAGTCAGTTCTGGTGTCAGGTGGGTTTCTTAGGGGAGGGGAGGTAAGGGATTTTTTGAGGGATTGRTGAAATAGAAAAAAGAGTTACCAGTTGAAAAATCAATATTCTCCAGGCTTTGTGAATGTTTTAAGCATCGCCACAATGTCAACAATAAATTGTTACTTACAAAGAGAGTGTCAGAGAGGTATTGATGATTTTTGTTTTGTAGGTTATCTTTGATGAATCACTTCACATTTGCATAGATACCTAYCTTAAACAGTCTCCAAGGTACAGTGAACAGTCCTTTTCTCTGTTGAAGAGTATTGTACAACTGTAATAGTCTGAAAATATTTAGTTATAAACCAATGATATAAGTTCCTTGCTAGCAGAGTCTCTCTAATTGTAGCTCCAAATCAGTAAAATCAAACTACGATAAGAAAGACTCCAATAGCAGTTGATGATAGAGTACAAACACTAAAACTGTGCAACATAAATACCACTAAACGCCACTAAATTATGCTAATTCTATTGTTTTCTATTGTTAAATTATCATTATTTTGTAGTAAATAGTGTAAAGTATTGCATGCTTTTAGTGTTTGTACTCTATACATGACTATAGATAGCATGCAATATTGTGTCACAACATTGTTCAGAAACTAAGGTTATTGTTTATAATTTTGGAAAAGAAAATGTTTTTTTAAAGATTTGGACCATATATTAGAAGTAGATTCATTGTTATTCTGTACTATAAATTGTTATTAGAAGGATCATTTTCTTCTCTTACAGACMATTTGATTTATTGAGTTTGACTCTTCCTGAGGAATTATCAAGTTTACAACAGAGTTTATACAAGAGAATCTTCATGGTTTTACTAAGAATGTCTACTCATAAAGAATC